ATCTGGGAAAGTTGTGAGGTGATATGTTTTTTGGTTTGTTTTTAGTTTTATCCTTTTCACCTGCAATGCCTTGGTAACTGCATGCAAATTAGCGCATTTTAAATTAGGCCTAGTTAACGCCTAATTTGCATATCAATTTGGCGATTGTGATGACGTTATTAGATACACATTCTACTGTATTCACCTTTATTGTATCGGTGTATCCCCTTAAGTACAGTTCATTAGCCTGTATGCCCATGATAAATTGCCTTAGCTAAACCTTGAGCTAACTTATCCATTAGCTAGTAGCCTACCTTAGTTAACTATATTTGTTTTTGTCTTTTGGCGATTTAGCTGTAAACACACACACACACACACACACACACACACACACACACACACACACACACACACACACACACACACACACACACACACACACACACACACACACACACACACACACACACACACACACACACACACACACACACACACACACACACACACACACACACACACACACACACACACACACACACACACACACACACACACACACACACACCTCGCTTTATACTCTTACATTAGACTCAAAACAAACCCACAGAAGAACAGAAGCTCAATGTTCCCTGTGTGACTTTAAGGTTTCCAACGTGACGCAGGAGTTCCTTCCTGTTCCGGTCGGACCGGTCTGACATCAAACTGCTGCTGCTGGAGAAACGGCTCACCAGCCTCAGGCTCCATTATTGATCTGAGCAAGAGATGCCTTTTTCAGATTGTACAAGTTCACCTTTTTCAGCTCTGGTTTCATCTGATTTTTCTTAATCCTACAAATAAATAAAATATGTATATAAACAGGAAAATATCTTGTTTCAGAAAAATAATTTATATATTTATAATTTAAAAAAGCAAAAGACTGAGATTTTCACTTTTGTCCTTTTAGTTCTTTTATTAACAAGAAAAACCCCAACATTACAAAATATACAGACATGTGGCACTCGACCTGTTGGCTTTACTTTATTATGACTTTTCTTTTAATTTGTTTTGTTGCATTATTCAAACTTTCATTTATGCATTCAACACATTTAGACTTAATACATCCATATCCATATTCAACACATTTTTAAATCATGAACACACGTCTCTGTTAAACACATGCAAGACTACAAATACAATTGAACAGAGTAAAAGGCAATCAGAGTATAAGACTATATGTTTTAAATGATTATATGATAATTTCACACGACACAGAACAACTCGTGAGAAGATGTTAAAGCACATCCCATTATGTTTGATTGACAGCTGATCTCTGTGCAGTGAAGACATGAGCAATCAGCTCTCAGCAACAATGATGGACACACGGTGAGTTTAAGAAGTAGAAGAGTTCCTCAAATGACTTCAGGCTATTTCAGTTTACAAAACTCAGCTGTGTCTCCATAATCAAACACCCAAACTCCATGATAAAGCCAAAGTCCAGCATGTAGCGGCTGAGTGAATGTGGTCTGCACTCTGTGGAGGAGAGTCATGGTTTCAGAGACGATGCTGTAGAAGGACAGAACACCTGCTCTGTGATCCAGGTACACTCCTACTCTGGAGGACAGAGGACCTGAGACGGGAGTGCTGATACTGTTGTAACGAAATGTATAACTGTTTTGGTCACAATCTAAGGACCAAGATTTGTCATTGAATCCAAATCCACATTCATTCCCTGCTCTGCTGATATTCTTGTATGCGACAGCTACATGAACTCCTCCCCCAAAAACTCTTCCCCCTCTCCACTCCACCTCCCAGTAACAACGTCCAGTCAGACTCTCTCTACTCAGGACCTGAGGACATCCAGTGAATCTGTCTGGGTGGGAATAAGACTGTGGTTGTCCCATGTGTGTTGCTTTTCTGCTCCCCTCAGATAATAACAGATTTGTCTCTGCTGTGTTTGGATCCAGAGTGACTTCCTGTGAATATTGTAAGAACCCAGCTCTGGTGGTGGGCTCTGCTGCTGACAGTAAAACATCCACTTCAGTCGGTGAGACGTTTGTCCATTCCTCTCTCAGGACGTCCTGTAGTTTGTCTCTGACTGCTGACAGGGCCGCCGTCACGTCCTCAAAGTAGCTCAGAGGACGGATGTTGATGCTGGATGAGTGTGTAGGTTCACTGAGGGCTGGCAGTGAGGGGTAGCTGTGCAGAAACTGGTTGTGATCCTCTGTGTGAGACAGCAGCTTCAGCTCAGCGTCTCTCCTCTTCAGCTCAGAGATCTCCTGCTCCAGCTTCTCCTGAAGCTCTTTGACTCGACTCACTTCTCTCTTCTGCTGGGATCTGACCTCCTGCTTCACATCAGAGCTTCTTTTCTCCATGAGACGGATCAGCTCAGTGAACATCTTCTCACTGTCCTCCACTGCTTTATCAGCAGAGCCATTGACGGCCCTCCACCTCCTGCTGAAGCAGCTTCACCTCCTTCTCTCTGTCCTGGATTCTCTGCTGGATGTTTAGTCGACTCCCCTCCAGCTCTCTCTGCCTCTCAGTCCTCTCTGCTGCAGCTGACACCGTGTCGTGGCCTTTGTGTTCGTCCACAGAGCAGATATAACAGATACACTGCTGATCAGTGCGGCAGAACAGCTTCATCACCTCGTCGTGACGAGAGCAGATGTTCTCCTGGAGCTTCTTGGAGGGCTCCACCAGCTTGTGTTTCTTTAATTGAGCTACGTCATAATGAAGCTGGAGGTGTTTCTCACAGTAAGATACAAGACACACGAGGCAGGACTTACAGGCTCTCAGTTTCCTCCCAGTGCAGACATCACAGGCCACATCTTCAGCTCCAGCATAGCAGAGATCAGCAGGAGCAGCTTGGAGTCCAGTCTTCTTCAGCTCCTCCACTAAAGCTGCTAACATGGTGCTTTTCAGCAGGACAGGCCTCGGTGTGAAGCTCTGCCTACACTGAGGGCAGCTGTGGATCTTCTTCTCATCCTCTCCGTCCCAGAAGCCTTTAATACACTTCATGCAGTAGCTGTGTCCACAGATAGTGGTCACCGGATCCTTCAGTAGATCCAGACAGATCGAACAAGATAAGAATTCCCGGTCCAGCTGAACTCCTTTCTGCGCCATTTCACCTCTCAGTAGCAGCGAGTGTCTGAGTTTCACTTCCTGAGAGCTGAAACTATGTGAGCTGTGATCTGAACAGCATGTGTGTGTGCTGTGAATGTGGCCTATCAGCTCTTGTGCTTTACCCACATGTTGGTTACACCCCTCCTCCTCAGTGTGGATCTGAAGGGGAGGAACCAGGAAGTACAGAGTGGAGCTGGCTGTGTCTGAGAGCAGGAAGAAGAGGGAGGGCTTATCAAACTCTGACTCATTCCAGGAGGAGGAGCAGACACTCTGACCTGTTTCCTCATTTACAAACTGAGCCTCGCTCACAACCTGCTCTACATTTGAAAACAGTCTTCAGTTGTAAAATATGTGTTTTAACTTCAGGCTTTTGTAGCACACAGCTCCACACTCATGGTGGCAGTGGTGTAAGAAGTACTCAGATATTCTACTAAAGCAAAAGTAGAAATACTACGGGGTAAAAATACTCTGTTACAAGTAAAAGTACAAAAGCATTGGTATCAAAATATACTTAAAGGACCAAAACTAAAAGTACTCCTTATGCATTATGGCCCTTTTCAGAATCGTATATATATATTGAGTTACTGGGTTACTATAATGATTATTGATGTGTTTTATCACAGTTAGTAAATGTAGAGATCATTTGAATAACTTGATGTCCTGCTGCTGGATATCTTATCCTATAAATATCTGTCAAAGTGTATTTAATCATTGATTTATATTTTGAATGATCTACTAATCTATATCTAACTAGTAAAAGCTGTGAAATGAATGCAGTGAAGTAAAAAGTACAATACTGTCTTCTAAAATGTAGTGCAGTAGAAGTATATAGCAGCATAAACTGAGACGTATTGGCATCAAAAAAATAGTTAAAGTACCAAAAGTAAAAGTGCTTACTGTGCGTAATGTCTCATTTTAGAATCATATATATTGCATTACTGGATTATTTCATTCTTCATGCATTCATGTGTCTTTTCCATCCCTAATAAAGTGTAGGGGAAATGGAGACAGTAACACACAACAGTCAGGGTGAAAGTGAACACAAGTTTATTTATTTACACCAAAGAAAATGCCAACAAATGTTCTTTAAGTGAGGAGACAAAGAAGATTGTGCCAAATTAAATAAATGAATATAACAAAACTCAAACAAAAAGCCCTCACTATCTGTTCTACTAACAAGGAGACAAAACAACTACAGGGTGCAACAATCTACTAACCTAGTGTGTCTATCAGAGTTTACCTACGTGAGGAGAGGTAGAGGGTACCCCAAACTTACCCAAATCCTCCACTTCCCACCACACACACATTTAACAATACTAAAAACAAGAAGACAGAATAATGACCAAATCTCTCAGAGACCACAAAGAGGCTCTGGAGTCAGCAGCAGGTCTGAGAGAGCGAAGGCTTCCTGGATCGCCTCCTTTAATGACCGGCCCTGGCTACCTTCTTATATGGAAATAAAACACTAATAGAAAAATAGAATGTCTTTGATAATTCACTATAACTAAGTTCTAAATGTGTCCTCTGTTAAGATGTTGAATTAACACCAGAATTGAATAAATTAATACATTATTTCTGATAGCAGTATGTGAAATTATATCTGTAGCTATATTATAAACTCTACTTGTATCTTATCAGTTAATTAGTTACAAAAATACATTTAACTCTTCCCTGGTTCTGGCAGAAACAGTTCTTTCTGACATGTTTTGGGACATTTGGATGTATCCCTTTTAGTATGATAATTAGCCTGTTAGCATTATCCAGACAGCATTGTGTGACTTGTTGAACTGGTTTACCTGCATGTGTGGGTGCAGGCATTCCTTTTAGTGTGATAATAGGCTAAGCCAGACAGAATGAACACTTGTTCAACCTGCCTATCTATTCCTTCAGGTAATCTATTACAATATAATAAGCATATGTATTATTGATACATATTTATTAATGACTTTTTCCATTTCAGAATGCCAGCAGCAAAGAGAGGTCCTGGATTCAGTGTGCAGGATGTGATCCAAAAAGGAGAAAGTGATTTGAGATGGAATCAGAGGACACTGCTATGAGTGAAGAAGAGGCAGATGAAGATGCCTGTGGACAAAGAAAAGCAACAACAATCCATCCCTCACATACTTATGTATATATAATAACTTGCTTTATATTTGGCTTTTGTTATTGTTCATTTGTAAATTCAACATGTATATTTTCTACTTTCTTGTTTATTTCTAGTCTTTTTTCATTTGTATTGTATGCCATGTCTTTTATGCTGCTGCAACACAACAATGTCCCAAATTGAGATCAATAAAGTTCTATCTTATCTCTTATCTGAACCCAATGGCCGCCCAGTCAGTGATTATGTGGACATCGAGCCCCAACCAAATAAACACACCAAGCCCCGTGACAGGTATCGCTGGCTGAACAAAGATTTGATCAGTCCCAATACTGATTTTTTCTTTTGAGTAATAAATCACAATTCTTACTTAAATCTCAGATCTATGAAAATAAATCCTGAAGGTTTTCATGAAAATAAATAAAATATATTTGAACAAGACCAGGCCCAGAGAAGTGATATAATAAGGAAGCAGTCACACTGGGCTAATACACACTGCATGTAAACGACAAATGTGAAGACAAATCACAAATGTGACTCAGTAATGGCTAATACACAGTTACCGATGGCTCATTTGACCCCTACAGAATGTACTTAAATTGACAATATAAAATAGATTACAACGACAGACGATCAATACTCAAAGTCCCCGTCTGTATGGAATGCACCCTCGAAGAAATCTGATCAGACTGAGACAGCTCTTCATCCTGAGCTGCAGAAAAGTCTCCTTTGCTTTCAGAAAAGTCCACTTTGAACGAGTGCTGCACCACTACTGGGCTCTTCACATCCTCCATGACAGGAGAGGAGAGGGGGTGAAGCTGCCATGGTGCTCCTGTGCACATGAGACAGTCCTCAGATTGAGAAGAAGGAGGGGGGGGGGGGGGCTCAGGTGCTGGAGGTCCAAACGTGCATCTGTTTGGCGATCTGCAGCACGAAGACGATGTCCGGCCGCTGGTCTGGCTCCGGGTTGATGCACATGCTGACCAGCTCCCTCAGCTGTAGGAAAGAAGGGCTTCATTAGCTTAAAGGAGACGGATATTCTGCAGTTTCTTGGTCAACAAATCCCACGAAAAGACACAACAACAATGTGGTAATCGGTCCTTTAGGTTCATTCATTTCCTACAGCCAAGTAACATTTGATCAAGGAGGAGAAATTGCATTTGTTGTCTGTATTAATGATTCCTCATCTACCTTCTCAGAGTGATGGTCCGGAGGGAGGGGGGGGTAATCACACTTCTCGATCTTCTGGCAGAGGGAGAGCAGGTTCATCTTGTCCCCATAAAACGGACTCTGCAGCGCTGCCATCTGCAGAAACAAGTGGAAGACAGGCTGGATGAGAGACATTCCTGATGAAGACTTTAAACCAACACGATGAAGAAGAGGTGATAGATCAGTCGCTGCTGACAGAGCGCAGACGTCCACTCTTTGGGGGATTGAAAAGGAGCTTGAAGACTGCAAGCTGCCCTGCATGTATTGTGACTTTCCTGGGACTGATGCTAGGCCCACTACATTTCATTATACCTGAAGAGCTCCCTTTCCATCATCGTCTAAAGCAGGCCATACGTACTATATGTGAATATGTATTAACCTCAGCTGTAGTGTAAAAGGGTTAGGGTTCAAAGTGCTTGAATATCACGTTGGAAAAGGTGTACAAATCTTAAAAAAAACAAGTAACAGTGTATGTGAGCTTACCTCATACAGAAGACATCCCAGAGACCAGATATCAGACTTAAAATTGTATCCGTTCTCGTGGATCCTCTCCGGCGACATGTAGTAAGGAGTCCCCACTGGGAGAAAGAGAGTTAAGATGTTCAGAAAATCAATTGATCATTGCTGTGAGACGATCACAGAAAACACACAGATTTAATGCTGTTTTTTAAATGTATTCTGTATCGAATCCATGTATATGAATATGTATGCATGCATGTTCTGTATTTACATGTTCTGTCCGTTCCTTACCTAAGGAGTGTGCCGCCGTGGTTTTGGAGCTGAAGAAGCGTCCTAATCCCAGGTCACCCAGCTTCACCTCACCTGTGGCTGTGATGAACACGTTGGCTGGCTTTATATCTGACACACACACACACACACACACACACAACACACACACACACACACACACACACACACACACACACACACACACACACACACACACACACACACACACACACACACACACACACACACACACACACACACACACACACACACACACACACACAAATTACACCGAAGCTTTCTCAGGGCGGGCCAATGAGTAAACTGGGCGGGCCTGGTGTATAGTCTACAATAGCTTCATACAGTACCAGTCAAACGTTTGGACACACCTTCTCATTCAATGGTTTTTGTTAATGTTTATTGATTTCTACTTTAAAGAAGATTAATACTGAAGACATCAAAACTATGAAAGAACACATATGGAATTATCTAATTAACAAAAAAAGTGTTAAAAAAATCCAGAATATTATTTTTATTTTCTATTCTTCAAAGTAGCCCCCTTTTGCCTCGATGAACGCTTTGCACACTCTTGGCTTCTCTCAGTCAGCTTCATGAGGTCGCCCCCGGTTTTCAATTAACACGTGTGCCTTGTCAAGAGTCAATTTGTGGAATGATTTGCCTTCTTAATGTGTTTGAAATGTGTTTATATTTCTGCAGAAACAAATCTGCCCCAATTAGAGTGAGTGGTACAAAGTCACTTTTCTACAAATAATGCATCCACCTATTAAGTTCCTTTACATACACCGTCTGTAGGAGAAGCAGCATTCAGTTATTATGCTCCAAATATCTGGAACAAACTCCCAGAAACCTGCAGGTCCGCTGCAACTCTTACTACTTTTAAATCCAGGCTGAAGACTTTTCTTTTTGCCGCTGCTTTTAATTGAACTATTCACATCTTAAACTGCACTGTAACTTTTAACTTTTATCCATGTATTTTTTCTTTTAATGTTTATTTTATTATCTTTTCTTTTTAATGACTGATTTTAAATGCCATTTTCATAATGTCTTCCATTTTTGTAAAGCACTTTGAATTGCCTTGTGTTGAAAGGTGCTATATAAATAAACTTGCCTTGCCTTGTAGGATTAAACTATTTGACCAGCTGATTTGTTGTAGTGTTTTGAGTGTAGCCCACAAGGTGAGTTTCACACACACACACACACACACACACACACACACACACACACACACACACACACACACACACACACACACACACACACCTCGCTTTATACTCTTACATTAGACTCAAAACAAACCCACAGAAGCTCAATGTTCCCTGCGTGACTTTAAGGTTTACAACGTGACGCAGGAGTTCCTTCCTGTTCCGGTCGGACCGGTCTGACATCAAACTGCTGCTGCTGGAGAAACGGCTCACCAGCCTCAGGCTCCATTATTGATCTTAGCAAGAGATGCCTTTTTCAGATTGTACAAGTTCACCTTTTTCAGCTCTGGTTTCATCTGATTTTTCTTAAACACACACACACACACACACACACACACACACACACACACACACACACACACACACACACACACACACACACACACACACACACACACACACACACACACACACACACACACACACACACACACACACACACACACACACACACACACACACACACACACACACACACACACACACGTTTTTAGCCGCCGATACCAATATGCAATTGCTGATGATCCATAATGAGGTTTTCTGATGGCTTTCATTCGAGCAGCTTGTACATTTATTGCGGCAAATATAAGTCTGACCCCTCAGTGTCTAAGGCTCTCCACCAGGGGGCAGCGTAACAAAGGAGATCAATGCAAGTGCAATTAAAGAACCATAAATAGTGCTGTTGGTTTCTTGTCCTGTCAGAAACATACTAAGGTGAGGCCGTCCTTCAACCAGAAGTGTTCAAATGCTACCTCCTTTACGGGTTGGAAGACTCATTCCTGCACCACTCTTTTATGAAATGTGACGAGGGTGAGTAAATGGGTCAGTAGCTGCTTACCACGGTGCATTACTCTGCGTGAGTGCATGTGCTCCAGGGCGCTGCAGAGCTGCACAAAATACTTCCAGATAGTTCTCTCTGGGATGAGGCGCCTCTTCTTCTTGAAGTACTTTAAAGATAAAAAGGAAGCAATGTTAGTCCATAGAAAGTGACAATGCTAGATTCAAGATTCAAGGCTTTTATTGTCATGTGTGCATAGCTACAGTTCTCTTAGGTCACAGACTCCTCCAGCAGAGCAACACAATAAAACAGATACAATAGTGCAAGTAATACAAATAGAATATAATAAAAATAGTGCAAGACTAGTCTATATACAAGTAATTGGAATATTGATATATAGACTTGAAGATGCTATGTGTAGCATATGGGAACCAGGCCAAAACAAAGTGTTGCTCTCATCTCATATATTTTGAGTAGAATCATGAAAATGAATCTTGATAAAATACTAGTAATCAAATCTAACAAGTACGTTTGTTGCTGCGTGTAAAATGAGTTGAGTTAGGGTCACTGTTCTTGTTTGATCTGAGGTGAGTCTGTGATCTGACCTTTATCATCTGGGACAGATCTCCAGCATCCTCCAGCTCCAGAACGATGTTGAGCTCGTTGTCTTCAATGAAAGAGTCCAGGTATTTGATCACATTGGGGTGATTCAGCTGCTGCAGTGGGCAAACAGGAGACACACATGTTTTCATGCTAACACAGCATGCAGCAGCTCCCACAAGAAGAAGTAGAGCTGAACTCAAAGTGATGCTCATACACTAGTTATCCTATGTTTCCCTTAATGCTGGAAACCTGTTATGGTGCTCTCACTGACCCCCTGAACACAATGATGGATCAACTTTACCTTCATCTCTCTCCTTGATGCAGTCCTGACTGGCCTTGGCATCCATCATCGCAAAGATCTGCAGTGACAAAGATTCAATAAATGTATTCTTTGACTTCTTTCTTACACTGTAAAAAGTCCAGCTTGCTATGAATCTTGAGTCCAACTAAACACTAGCATTGGTCAGACTCTAATCTGCATTATACTCAAAGAAACAAAAAAACGTAAGCAGACTCTCACTCTTTATGTTCAAACCTTATCTTAACTAATCATTTAAAAGTAATAATTAAGTTCTGATTAGGATTGAGCCCCATCCCCTAAATCAAATAATTAGCATCAAGCACATGGTCCACATCAAGGGTGCATGCATGTGACATTTCAGAAGGACGTCCTGAAGCAGACTGCTGACGTCTGTGTGATTTCCTTTAAGAGAAACTGATCAATGATTCATTAACAAGTCCTTATTCATTTAACAATCCACCTTTAACCCTTCTGGCAAATAACTTGTTTCAGAAAAATAATTTATATATATATTTATAATTTAAAAAAGCAAAAGACAGATTTTCACTTTTGTCCTTTTAGTTCTTTTATTAACAAGATTAAAATATATACAGACATGTAAATGTATTCAACACATTTAGACTTAGTTACAAATTAAAAACCTTTAGAATAAAATATCTCCAATGAAAGAAGCTCTGGTGCTTTCTCTCTAAAGACTCACTTTACAAGAGAAACAACACACAAATACATCAATATCCATATTCAACACATTTTTAAATCATGAACACACGTCTCTGTTAAACACATACAAGACTAAAAATACAATTGAACAGAGTAAAAGGCAATCAGAGTATAAGACTATATGTTTTAAATGATTATATGATCATTTAACACGACACAGAACAACTCGTGAGAAGATGTTAAAGCACCTCCCATAATGTTTGATTGACAGCTGATCTCTGTGCAGTGAAGACATGAGCAATCAGCTCTCAGCAACAATGATGGAGACACGGTGAGTTTAAGAAGCAGAAGAGTTCCTCAAATGACTTCAGGCTATTTCAGTTTACAAAACTCAGCTATGTCTCCATGATCATAAAGCCGAACTCCAGCATGTAGCGGCTGAGTGAATGTGGTCTGCACTCTGTGGAGGAGAGTCATGGTTTCAGAGACGCTGTAGAAGGACAGAACACCTGCTCTGTGATCCAGGTACACTCCTACTCTGGAGGACGGAGGACCTGAGACGGGAGTGAGGATACTGTTGTAATGAAATGTATAACTGTTTTGGTTACACTCTAAGGACCAAGATTTGTCATTGAATCCAAATCGACTTTCAGCCCCTGCTCTGATGATATTCTTGTATGCGACTGCTACAAAAACTGTTCCCCCTCTCCACTCCACCTCCCAGTAACAACGTCCAGTCAGACTCTCTCTTCTCAGGACCTGACCAAAATAAGTGAATCTGTCTGGGTGACTAGAATAAGACTGTTGTTGTTTCATGAATGTTGCTTTTCTGCCCCCCTCAGATAATAACAGCCATGTGTGTGCTGTGTTTGGATCCAGTTTGATTCTCTGTGAATATTGTAAGAACCCAGCTCTGGTGGTGGGCTCTGCTGCTGACAGTAAAACATCCACTTCAGTCGATGAGACGTTTGTCCATTCCTCTCTCAGGACGTCCTGTAGTTTGTCTCTGACTGCTGACAGGGCCGCCGTCACGTCCTTAAAGTAGCTCAGAGGACGGATGTTGATGCTGGATGAGTGTGTAGGTTCACTGAGGGCTGACAGTGAGGGGTAACTGTGCAGAAACTGGTTGTGATCCTCTGTGTGAGACAGCAGCTTCAGCTCAGTATCTCTCCTCTTCAGCTCAGCGTCTCTCCTCTTCAGCTCAGAGATCTCCTGCTCCAGCTTCTCCTGAAGCTCTTTGACTCGACTCACTTCCCTCTTCTGCTGGGATCTGACCTGCTGCTTCACATCAGAGCTTCTTTTCTCCATGAGACGGATCAGCTCAGTGAACATCTTCTCACTGCCCTCCACTGCTTTATCAGCAGAGCCATTGACGGCCTCCACCTCCTGCTGAAGCAGCTTCACCTCCTTCTCTCTGTCCTGGATTATCTGCTGGATGTTTAGTCGACTCCCCTCCAGCTCTCTCTGCCTCTCAGTCCTCTCTGCTGCAGCTGACACTGTGTCGTGGCCTTTGTGTTCGTCCACAGTGCAGATATAACAGATACACTGCTGATCAGTGCGGCAGAACAGCTTCATCACCTCGTCGTGACGAGAGCAGATGTTCTCCTGGAGCTTCTTGGAGGGCTCCACCAGCTTGTGTTTCTTTAATTGAGCTACGTCATAATGAGACTGGAGGTGTTTCTCACAGTAAGATACAAGACACACGAGGCAGGACTTACAGGCTCTCAGTTTCCTCCCAGTGCAGACATCACAGGCCACATCTTCAGCTCCAGCATAGCAGAGATCAGCAGGAGCAGCTTGGAGTCCAGTCTTCTTCAGCTCCTCCACTAAAGCTGCTAACATGGTGTTTTTCAGCAGGACAGGCCTCGGTGTGAAGCTCTGCCTACACTGAGGGCAGCTGTGGATTAACTCTCCATCCCAGTGGTGTTTAATACAGTCCATGCAGTAGCTGTGTCCACAGGAAGTGGTCACCGGATCCCTCAGTAGATCCAGACAGATGGAACAAGAGAAGGTTTCCCGGTCCAGCTGAACTCCTTTCTGCGCCATTTCCCCTCTCAGTAGCAGCGAGTGTCTGAGTTTCACTTCCTGAGAGCTGAAACTATGTGAGCTGTGATCTGAACAGCATGTGTGTGTGCTGTGAATGTGGCCTATCAGCTCTTGTTCTTTACCCACATGTTGGTTACACCCATCCTCCTCAGTGTGGATCTGAAGGGGAGGAACCAGGAAGTACAGAGTGGAGCTGGCTGTGTCTGAGAGCAGGAAGGAGAGGGGGGGCTTATCAAACTCTGACTCATTCCAGGAGGAGCAGCAGACACTCTGACCTGTTTCCTCATTTACAAACGGAGCCTCGCTCACAACCTGCTCTACATTTGAAAACAGTCTTCAGCTGTAAAATATGTGTTTTAACTTCAGGCTTTTGTAGCACACAGCTCCACACTCATGGTGGCAGTGGTGTAAGAAGTACTCAGATATTCTACTAAAGCAAAAGTAGAAATACTACGGGGTAAAAAGACTGTGTAACAAGTAAAAGTACAAAAGCATTGGTATCAAAATATACTTAAAGTACAAAAAGTAAAAGTACTCCTTATGCATTATGGCCCTTTTCAGAATCGAATATATATATTGAGTTACTGGGTTACTATAATGATTATTGATGTGTTTGATCACAGTTAGTAAATGTAGAGATCATTTGAATAACTTGATGTCCTGCTGCTGGATATCTTATCCTATAAATATCTGTCAAAGTGTATTTAATCATTGATTTATATTTTGAATGATCTACTAATCTATATCTAACTAGTAAAAGCTGTGAAATGAATGCAGTGAAGTAAAAAGTACAATACTGTCTTCTAAAATGTAGTGCAGTAGAAGTATATAGCAGCATAAACTGAGACGTATTGGCATAAAAATAATAGTTAAAGTACCAAAAGTAAAAGTACTAACTGTGCGTAATGTCTCCTTTTAGAATCATATATATTGCATTACTGGATTATTTCATTCTTTATGCATTCATGTGTCTTTTCCATCCCTACTAAAGTGTAGGGGAAATGGAGACAGTAACACACAACAACCAATAACATTGAGAGAGTCAGGGTGAAAGTGAACACAAGTTTATTTATTTACATCAAAGAAAATGCCAACAAATGTTCTTTAAGTGAGGAGACAAAGAAGATTGTGCCAAATTAAATACATGAATATAAAAAAATACAACGAAGCTACTGTGAAATTCGCTCCGTGTTCATGTCAGGTGACTTTTTGGACAAACCGGCTACCGTACCGGATGTTACGTTTCGTTCGTTCTTTTTTTATTTAATTGTATTATTATTTATCAAATCAATCGGAAAAGGGCACATCAAATTAGTGTTTATTAAATTAATTAAACCTCAGGGCATTATGAAATTATTAAACCAGATACAAAACTAATTAAAAAAAAAACACAAGTGACTCAGGCATCCGGACCGGAAGTAGTACCCCGGGTCGGGAGCAAATGATTTTTGTTGTCCTTATTTTTAAATGTAGAAATATGTTAAAGATTTTATAATAGTGTGTGTTCTGTTTTATTCTCAAATGTTATGTATTTATTCATTCATACATTTATTTATGCATTTATTTATTTATACTTATGTCATGTTCCGTCCTCCATAGTATTTGACTGAATAAGGATGTGGATAGCAGGACTGATGACTTCTATTAACTTCAACATCAAAATCGATTGATAAAGAAGCTTCTTTTGCATCTATTGTTTAAACCTTTAATTTATATTCACTTACCACAAATACAAAAGAGGCAGCACTTGACAATGACACCACTCAGCTCAATGTCATGTCGCAATAAAAAGTACAATAAATACAAAAAATTAAGGCATAAACAATCTGGGTCTGCAATATATTTATTATATCCGCACAGAGTTCAGGTATTGTGTGTGATGAGGCACTGTTCAGTAAATATAGACATTGTTTAACATATTCTTTTACGTTATTACCTCAAAATGACTTTCACAGCATCACATCCTCGGTCCTCCAAGTGCATTTAGAGAAATGAGATGTCCTTCAACATGGCTGAAATCCATTTCCGGGTCACTACCGGAGGAGCGAGGAGTCGAGGAGTCGAGGAGGGGAAATGAGAGAAATGAGAAAGGCCCTATAGGAGTAACGTGCTGCAGCTTCAAAAGCGATGAAACATATTAACAGCAATGTGCCCAAACACATGCAGATGGAGAGAAATCTACACCAACCTGACGAGACATGAGCAGGCTTTACTAAAAGAGCTACATTAGCTACAAATAACGTAACATCTGAATTCATCTGATTTTTCTTAATCCTACAAATAAATAAAATATATATAAAAACATGAAAATATCTTGTTTCAGAAAAATAATTTATATATATGTTGTGTTCGGGTCTCCCGTGACCCGTTTCAAGTTTAATTTTTTGATAACTACGCTCTAGTTTTTTTGTATCTGAACGAGGCTTCATGATATCCTCCACAACAGATATATAAACACTACAAAACTGATTTGGACCATTTTAGCCAAGTCTGAAGGTCTCTAAAAAAAAAAGTGTATAATTTGGTGTTGGGGTCTGGGGAGACCCAGCAGAATTGTTGTGGGTCACTCATGGTCAAATTTGGCCCAATCAAGATTCATCTTTGACTTTAGACGCCCCTCCCCCACCCCCTTCATCAACTGTAACAATAATTGTTCGCAACATGCACCTGGTCTCCCCTCCCTCTGCCCCCCTCCCCCCACGGGAACTCCACCTTTCTCAAAGAATATGTGCACTAACACTTGAACCTGAACTCACACATGCACGTGTGCAATATGTGGTGTAATGTGTTTTGGACCATAACATTAAATTACAACAGGATTGTACGGTTATGAATGCATAATAAGTTAGTTATGATGTAGTTAAAACAATATTGGATGATAGTCATTTTTTTTGTGTGTTTTGGACTGAAATAAATCATGGGTCAAAATGTACCCGCGAACACCATGAACGGTAACAGCTTTCGAACACAACACAAGGGTTAGAGAAAGCATGAGACGGAGATTTTCACTTTTGTCCTCTTAGTTCTTTTATTAACAAGATTAAAATATATACAGACGTGTAAATGTGGCACTCGACCTGTTAGCTTTTCTTTTTTATGACTTTTCTTTTGATTTGTTTTGTTGCATTATTCAAACTTTCATTTCTGCATTCAACACATTTAGACTTAGTTACAAATTAAAAACCTTTAGAATCAAATATCTCCAATGAAAGAAGCTCTGGTGCTTTCTCTCTAAAGACTCACTTTACAAGAGAAACAACAACACACAAATACATCAATATCCATATTCAACACATTTTTAAATCATGTTAAACACATACAAGACTAAAAATACAATTGAACAGAGTAAAAGGCAATCAGAGTATAAGACTATATGTTTTAAATGATTATATGATAATTGAACACGACACAGAACAACTCATGAGAAGATGTTAAAGCACATCCCATCATGTTTGATTGACAGCTGATCTCTGTTCAGTGAAGACATGAGCAATCAACTCTCAGCAACAATGATGGACACACGGTGAGTTTAAGGAATAGAAGAGTTCCTCAAATGACTTCAGGCTATTTCAGTTTACAAAACTCAGCTGAGGCTCCATAACAAAGCCAAAGTCCAGCATGTAGCGGCTGAGTGAATGTGGTCTGCACTCTGTGGAGGAGAGTCATGGTTTCAGAGATGATGCTGTAGAAGGACAGAACACCTGCTCTGTGATCCAGGTACACTCCTACTCTGGAGGAGCGAGGACCTGAGACGGTAGTGAGGATACTGTTGTAAAGAAATGTATAACTGTTTTGGTTACACTCTAAGGACCAAGATTTGTCATTGAATCCAAATCGACATTCATTCCCTGCTCTGATGATATTCTTGTATGTGACTGCTACATTAACTCCTGCTACAAAAAATCCTCCCTGTCTCCACTCCACCTCCCAGTAACAACGTCCAGTCAGACTCTCTCTACTCAGGACCTGAGAATAACCTCCAGTGAATCTGTCTGGGTGACTAGAATAAGGCTGTGGTCCCATGATTGTTGCTTTTCTGCTCCCCTCAGATAATAACAGCTGTGTGTGTGCTGTGTTTGGATCCAGAGTGACTTCCTGTGAATATTGTAAGAACCCAGCTCTGGTGGTGGGCTCTGCTGCTGACAGTAAAACATCCACTTCAGTCGGTGAGACGTTTGTCCATTCCTCTCTTAGAACGTCCTGTAGTTTGTCTCTGATTGCTGACAGGGCCACCGTCACGTCCTCAAAGTAGGTCAGAGGACGGATGTTGATGCTGGATGAGTGTGTAGGTTCACTGAGGGCTGACAGTGAGGGGTAGCTGTGCAGAAACTGGTTGTGATCCTCTGTGTGAGACAGCAGCTTCAGCTCAGCGTCTCTCCTCTTCAGCTCAGAGATCTCCTGCTCCAGCTTCTCCTGAAGCTCTCTGACTCGACTCACTTCTCTCCTCTGCTGGGATCTGACCTGCTGCTTCACATCAGAGTTTATTTTCTCCATGAGACGGATCAGCTCAGTGAACATCTTCTCACTGTCCTCCACTGCTTTATCAGCAGAGCCATTGACGGCCTCCACCTCCTGCTGAAGCAGCTTCACCTCCTTCTCTCTGTCCTGGATTCTCTGCTGGATGTTTAGTCGACTCCCCTCCAGCTCTCTCTGCCTCTCAGTCGTCTCTGCTGCAGCTGACACTGTGTCGTGGCCTTTGTGTTCGTCCACAGAGCAGAGAGAACAGATACACTGCTGATCAGTGCGGCAGAACAGCTTCATCACCTCGTCGTGACGAGAGCAGATGTTCTCCTGGAGCTTCTTGGAGGGCTCCACCAGCTTGTGTTTCTTTAATTGAGCTACGTCATAATGAAGCTGGAGGTGTTTCTCACAGTAAGATACAAGACACACGAGACAGGACTTACAGGCTCTCAGTTTCCTCCCAGTGCAGACATCACAGGCCACATCTTCAGCTCCAGCATAGCAGTGATCAGCAGGAGCAGCTTGGAGTCCAGTCTTCTTCAGCTCCTCCACTAAAGCTGCTAACATGGTGTTTTTCAGCAGGACAGGCCTCGGTGTGAAGCTCTGCCTACACTGAGGGCAGCTGTGGATTAACTCTCCATCCCAGTGGTGTTTAATACACTTCATGCAGTAGCTGTGTCCACAGGGAATAGTCACCGGATCCTTCAGTAGATCCAGACAGATCGAACAAGAGAAGGTTTCCCGGTCCAGCTGAACTCCTTTCTGCGCCATTTCCCCTCTCAGTAGCAGCGAGTGTCTGAGTTTCACTTCCTGAGAGCTGAAACTATGTGAGCTGTGATCTGAACAGCATGTGTGTGTGCTGTGAATGTGGCCTATCAGCTCTTGGACTTTACCCACATTTGTTTGTTTGTAGCCTTTATTTAACCAGGTTAAAAAATTCCATTGAGATCAACGATCTCTTTTTCAAGGGAGACCTGCGGTACATTAGTTACACATAAAAACAAACAGAAAACAAAAGGACATCACAACATAATTACAGGGGTATACATTAGCAACCTATTTACATTTACAGGTATCCAATAACATTTCATCCAGCCGTGCTTTAAAACGATGCAAGGGAATCAAAATGCTCAGTTTCAATATTTTTTGCATGGTGTTCCAAGCCAGAGGAGCAGCGCACATAAAAGCTTTAGTACCTAAAACAGTCCTAGCACTTGGCACATGTAATAAAAACACATCCCGGGATCTCAGGCAATAGCTACTTGCCACTCTCCGTGAGATCAAAGAGCATATATAAGTCAGTAGTTTACCCAGCATGGCTTTATATATGAATATGTACCAATGACTGAGCCTCCGTACAGTAAGTGAAGACAGACCTGCCCTGGCATACAGGGTACAGTGATGAGTAAGTACTTTACAGTTAGTAACAAATCTCAGAGCACTGTGATAGGCGGCATCTAACCTTTCCAGGCAATGGGCAGGTGCATTCATATAGATCAAATCACCATAGTCTAGCACAGGTAAAAAGGTCACAGTGACTAGCCTTTTTCTGGCTTCAAAAGAGAAACAGGACTTGTTTCTGAAAAAGAAACCTAGTCTAACCCTCAGCTTTTTAAGCAGATTAGTGACCTGAAGTTTAAAAGTAAGACAATCATCAAGCCAGATACCAAGGTATTTATAACAGCTAACCACTTGGAGTACTTGTCCTTGCATAGTCACAATATCCAAAGCAGTCTCTTGAGTCTTTTTAGCTTTAGAAAAGAGCATTACCTTGGTTTTCTCAACATTTAAAAGAAGCTTTAGTTCAGAGAGCTGAGTCTGAATAATGTTAAAAACAGCCTGTAATTTAACAACCGCCTCCTTAATGGAGGGACCTGCACAGTACATCACGGTGTCATCCGCATAAAAATGCAAAGTATCTTCATCCACATTTTCACCTAAACTATTGATGTAGATGGAGAATAAAAGTGGACCTAAAACAGAACCTTGAGGAACACCATTAGCAATGTTCAACCACTCAGAAGACAGCCCATCAAAGTGAACACATTGGGACCTTTCAGAGAGGTAGTTCACAAACCACCCCACTGCATGGCTGGATAAGCCAATACTGAGTAGCCTCTGCTTTAAGATGCGATGATCGACGGTGTCAAACGCTTTGGAAAGGTCAATAAATAGAGCTGCACAACTCTGCTTATTATCTAAAATACTTGTAATGTCATTCACCACTTTCATTGTGGCAGTGATGGTGCTATGTTGCTTTCTGAAACCTGACTGATGTTTAGACAGGATGTCATTGTTACATAAAAACTCCTTTACCTGTTCACTCACTAGGCGTTCAAGAACCTTAGCCAGAACTGACAATTTCGAGATTGGCCTATAATTATTTAAAACAGTTGCCTCCCCTCCTTTTAGTAGTGGCAGGACATACGCTGACTTCCATACTTTAGGAATTGTGTTTGTGCTGAGGGAGAGGTTAAAAAGAGTAGTGAGAGGTGGAGCAATAAAATCTGCAGCTATCTTTAAAAAGAAAGGTTCTACGTTGTCCGGGCCAGCCGGTTTCTTAGGATCTAACTTAGATAATGCTTCATGAACAACATTTACAGTAAAAGGAGTAAAACTGAAAGGGTTTTCCAGACCACATTGTTCAGAGTCACGGATTGGGGTGTTCACAGAAGCAGAGTTAGTCACAGAATCAAACATAGAACCGCAGGGCACAAAATGCTCATTAAAACAATTTAACATAGTAGCCCTGTCCGATATAGAGCCAGATGTTGTGGTAATGCACGGAGGTAGCTCATTTCGGATCTTACCGGTGGATAGCGATTTTATGGCTTTCCAAAATTTCCTAGGATTATTTAGGTTTTCTGTAGTAACTGACAAATAATACTTCGACTTAGCACTTTTGACCTGTGAAGTGAAGCTATTTCTTAGCTGCCTAAAACGCAGCCATTCTACCTCTGAGCCTGATTTCCTAGCCTTTGCCCAGGCCTTGTTTCTCTCATGTAGGAGACTGGACAGTTCAGCAGAAAACCAAGGAGTGTCTCGTCCCTTTACTCTAAAAGTACGTAGGGGTGCATGTCTTTCAATGATCTCCATAAAACCAAGATAAAAATAAGACCATGCAGTTCTACATCAGCACACAGATCGATTTTTCCCCAATCAAACCCAAACAGATCATGAACAAAACCCTGCTCCACAAAATGTTTTATGTGTCTCTTAATAATAATACGAGGTTTAACCTTTTGGACCTTAGTGTCCCTAATTGTGGCTACAACACAGTGGTCACTCACATCATTTGCAAATACTCCCACAGATGGGTATTTATAGGGAACATTAGTTAGAATGAGATCAATTAGGGAGGATTTATTAGGGGACTTAACGTTAGGGCGAGTAGGACTGTCAACAATCTGAGTAACATTCAGAGAGATACAAAGGTTTTTTAAATCCTCTGATACTGCAGTTAACCAGTCCCAGTTAAAATCTCCAAGTAGCACTATTTCCTTGTAGTCTAGTTGCGATAAAAGTTTTGCTAGTGAAGACAAGGAGTCCTTGACAGCTGAGGGGGGTCTGTAACAGCCCACCACCATGACTTGTTGCCCCTTTGCCACTTCTATATTTAAGGCTAAAAATTCGAATTGCTTACTGACAGATTTGGAAACCAATGTGGTTACACTGAACTTATTCTTAACATAAATGGCAACTCCACCACCTTTATTAGGCCGGTCGGTACGATACACATTATAACCATTTAAGGATATGTCAGAGGCCAAAATAGTTTTATTTAGCCATGTTTCTGATAACACAATGACGTCAGCGTCAGTCGAGCTTGCCCAAATGCGGACAAAATCTAGTTTACCTAACAGACTGCGCACATTCAAGTGGATGAAACCCAACCCAGACCTAGCTTTAAAATCAGCAGGAGTAGCGATCTGACTACTACTACTGGGCGGACCAGGGTTAGGTTGAACATTTCCTGACAGTAATAACAACAACAAAAACAGGCATCTTTTCCTCTTAATCGACACACACACATTGTCATCTACTTTAGAATCACCGGAAAAGTCTGCGAGAGTTTGATTAGAGTTTAAGAAGCTGTCCTGAAGTACCATCATCGCAGGCAAACAAAAAAGACAAACATATTTTGTCGAGCAGATTGTCTGCGACAAGGTAACCGGTAACTGTTTGTGTAACACATCCGACCCTTTGCAGGGGATGCCTACTGCGGGTGGCAGAACAGACCTGAATCCAGTAGGCTTCTCAGGATGACTAGAGATCTTCTCATAGTCCAGAACAGTTAACAGGCACAGCAGAATCACGATATGGGCCATTTTCCCAGACCAGCACACAGTATCCGCGATGTTCCTGGGGCAAAAATCCTCCTCCTCACAGCAGCAAAGGACAGGCGAAAGCAGCAGCGAGGAAGCGCTCCGGTCTCTCCGTGGTATCCCCGGGGTATCCCCGGGGTAAAAGGTCTCCTCAGCAAGCAGCACACGACACTGGAGCACACGACAGGTGGGAGCAGGCCTCCGTAACAGCAGAACCAGGACAGGTGGAGAGCAGGCCCCAGCCGCGGCAAATCCTCCTCCGCACAGCAGCACACGCCCGGTGGAAGCAGGCCCCAGCCCGAAGCGTGGAGCCACTCTACAGGTAGGAGCAGGCCTCCGCAGATCGTAGATGACCTGATTGTGGTTTCAGTAGTGTGTAGGGTGTGAGAGTAATTCACAGATATTGCCCTAATGCTGCCGCTTATTCATGCGACGAACATCGTCGAGAAAGTCTAAAGACAACGTATGTGAGCTTACCTCATGCAGAAGACATCCCAGAGACCAGATATCAGACTTAAAATTTTATCCGTTCTCGTGCATCCTCTCCGGCGACATGTAGTAAGGAGTCCCCACTGGGAGAAAGAGAGTTAAGATGTTCAGAAAATCAATTGATCATTGCTGTGAGACGATCACATAAAACACACAGATTTAATGCTGTTTTTTAAATGTATTCTGTATCAAATCCATGAATATGTATGTATGCATGTTCTGTATTTACATGTTCTGTATTTACATGTTCTGTATTTACATGCATGTGCTGTCCGTTCCTTACCTAAGGAGTGTGCCGCCATGGTTTTGGAGCTGAAGAAGCGTCCTGATCCCAGGTCACCCAGCTTCACCTCACCTGTGGCCGTGATGAACACGTTGGCTGGCTTTATATCTGACACACACACACACACACACACACACACACACACACACACACACATTGATATGTTACGGCAAAGCTGATAAAATCATTGCAGGCTGTAGAGAAATGTACACTATGTCAAGTACACATTCCTTCCTGTGTTTAAATATTGATTGTACAATAAGAACAAAAGTATGAATAAATAGATCAAGTTTTTAGCCGCTGATACCAATATGCAATTGCTGATGATCCATAATGAGGTTTTCTGATGGCTTTCATTCGAGCAGCTTGTACATTTATTGCGGCAAATATAAGTCTGACCCCTCAGTGTCTAAGGCTCTCCACCAGGGGGCAGCGTAACAAAGGAGATCAATGCAAGTGCAATTAAAGAACCACAAATAGTGGTGTTGGTTTCTTATCCTGTCAGAAACATACTAAGGTGAGGCCGTCCTTCAACCAGAAGTGTTCAAATGCTACCTCCTTTACGGGTTGGAAGACTCATTCCTGCACCACTCTTTTATGAAATGTGACGAGGGTGAGTAAATGGGTCAGTAGCTGCTTACCACGGTGCATTACTCTGCGTGAGTGCATGTGCTCCAGGGCGCTGCAGAGCTGCACAAAATACTTCCAGATAGTTCTCTCTGGGATGAGGCGCCTCTTCTTCTTGAAGTACTTTAAAGATAAAAAGAAGCAATGTTAGTCCATAGAAAGTGAC